CATCACTGGGTGTCAGTGGGAGGAATAGTGTCCCATCACTGGTGTCAGTGGGAGGAATAGTGTCCCATCACTGGTGTCAGTGGGAGGAATAGTGTCCCATCACTGGTGTCAGTGGGAGGAATAGTGTGGTCAGTGGGAGGAATAGTGTCCCATCACTGGTGTCAGTGGGAGGAATAGTGTCCCATCATTGGTATCAGTGGAGGAATAGTGCCCCATCATTGGTATCAGTGGAGGAATAGTGTCCCATCACTGGTGTCAGTGGGAGGAATAGTGTCCCATCACTGGTGTCAGTGGGAGGAATAGTGTCCCATCACTGGTGTCAGTGGGAGGAATAGTGTCCCATCACTGGTGTCAGTGGGAGGAATAGTGTCTCGTCGGTACAAGAAATGCTGCCTCATCATTGGTGTCAGAGGGAAAAGTAGTGCCCCAAGGGCCAGATAATGACAAAAAAAGGGCAACATATGGCCCCTGGGCCACAGTTTGGAGACCATATTTATTTGTCGGCAATAACAGTAATAATTTTGCTGCACCTATGCTTTTCTTTGGTACATATTGGGTTATCTTGTGAAGAATGCTGTTGCTTTTTTTCAACCTATGAAAACAGTGAAGCTCCGTAGAGCCGCTGTCAATCACCAAACTGGACCTGCCCTGGGACGCATACCTGCCTGTGATGTGGGTGTGAGGAAGGCGAGGACACAGGGGGGTTTATTTACTAAAGGTGGTTGACTCCGAATCTTATGCACCTATGCATGGTAGCCAATCAGCTTCTAACCTCAACTTGTTCAATTAAGCTTTAGCAATAAAACCTGGAAGCTGATTGGTTTCTATGCAAAAGTGCATGAGATTCTGAGTGAACCAGTTTTAGTAAATAAACCCCAGGGCGTTCACAAAGGTGAACAGAACTTTGTCAACTGGACTAAGGAAGAACTACTACCTGGCAGGATCAACAAGTATTTTCTAGAAAGGCTTTTACAGAAACCAAAGAACACAGATAAAAAGACAATTTTGTTTGGGGGTCTCTCATGAGAATAAAGTGGAATTAAAGCCTAACACTAGCTATACTTAAAAACTTTACCTCCCCCTCCTGTTACCAAGTCTGCCTACAAAACACCTGTATACTTACCTTTTTTTTAGTCCAGTCTGGTCATGGTATCCTGCAGCTCTGACCTCCCTGTGTCTGCAAGTGGCAGCTGCAGGGGAGAGGAGGGAGCGCTGACAAAGGCTGGTACATGGGAGCCTACAGGTGACGTCATGGCTCCCGGAGTTCCCAGCCGTTGTCAAGCACTCCCTGACACAGAGGAGCCAGAGCTATGGGATCATGTAACCAGACTGGCGCAGATTATTTTCGATGCGCCAGAACCTAGAATCCAGTGATCTCCACTTGCTTCCGGATCTTGTGCTGAGTGGCCAGTCTGAACACAGGAGGTAAGCCAATCGGCAGAGGCGCTATGCAGAGAATGCTTTGCATTTTCTGAGTGAATGCAATGCAAGGTGTTCTGTGATTAAAAGAGGTGGAGAGCACGACGTCCTCGCCCCACCTCATCCAATCACTGAACACTTTGCATAATCATTTGCTCATTTCAGTTGTATTCCAGTTATAGCTAGTCTATTCCTTTAAATCGGAACCATCTTGAAGTTTGTAAACTTACTTTGTGAAGATCCCCACACATTTACATCCTTGAATTCTGTAGCATGTGGTCACTATGTGCTGTGAGTAGAACTGCTGTGTCAAACATTTCACAGAGCCCACCTTCTGAACTACAGAGGTATTGAGAGGAGGAGTTTCAGGAGGCGGGGTCAACACGGGAATCACTGCTTGCAGGCAGCATGGTACCATGGGATATGTAGTCCTTTGATATGGAGGAGAAGCTGCAAAGCATGCAAGAAATCCAGGAAGTTTAGAAAGAAGGCCAGCAGACAGCCAGAACTCACAACATGAAGGAAATTTTTCAAATAAGCTTATATTGGATTGTTAAAGTGATAAAAAAAATAAAAAAAAAACTTTGTTTAAAATAAATAAATAAATAAATAAGAAAATATGTTATACTTATCTGCTCTGTGTAATGGTTTTGTACAGAGCAGCCCCGATTCTCCTCTTATGTCTCCTGCTGGCCCTCCTGCATCTCCTTCCTGTCGGGTGCCCCCACAGCAAACAGCTTGCTATGGGGGCACCCAAGCAGGCATTCCCGAGCCACAGCTCTGCGTATCTATTCACACACAGAGCCGTGCTTTGGACCCGTCCCCTCCCTTTCCTGATTGGCACACTGGCTGTGATTGAAAGCTCCCACTGTTGCCACAGCCACTCAGGAGTGAGAGTCCCTGGAGAACCGAGGCTCTAGTGGTCATCGCTAGATCGGCATGGGGCTCAGGTAAGTGTTAGGGGGGCTGGGGGGATCTACACACAGAAGGTTTTTTACCTTCATGCATAGAATTTATGAAGGTAATAAACCTTGAGTGTTTAGAACCACTTTAATAATAACTATGTTTCTCTAATGTTATCACAATGCTGATGGTATAAAATTTATGGGCAGCACAGTGGGTAAATGGTTAGCACGTCCACCTGGCAGTACTAGGGTCCTTGGTTCGAATCGCAGCCACAACAACACCTGCCTGGAGTTTGCATGTTCTTCCTGTGCCTGCGTTGGTTTCCTCCGTGTACTCCGGTTTCCTTCTACACTCCAAAGACATGCTGGTAGGTTAACCACTTCCCGTCCGCCTGCTGTTTATAAACGGCAGGGCAGTGGCACTCCAGGGGCGGGTTGCCGTTCATAAACGGCACCCGCCTTTTCTAGCTGTGCGCACTCCCTGGGAGCGCGCAGCACCGCGATCCGGTGCCCGCTGTGTCCTCTGGACACAGTGAAACACCGATTGTCGGACAGGACCTCTGTACGAGGTCCCGATCATGTGATCACTGATTGGCCAATCAGTGATCACATGCAAAGTAGTAAGTAAGATGTCACTTGTGACATCATTGCTTACTACGTGTGAAATCTGTGAATGATCACAGAGGTCACATGGTACAAGGCTATTCACAACAGCCTTGTACCATGTGACAAGGTGTGACCAATCACAGCTCACTCAGTATTTCTCAATGGCTGCAAGAATGCAGACAGAGAGAAAGAGAAATGATTGCTTTTACATCCTATATGGGTGTAAAAGCAATCACTGTAAAAAAAAAAAAAAAAAAAAAAATCTTCATCACCCCCCACAAGTAGTACAGTGTCACCATGGTGACACTGTACTGCTAGGGTGACAGTATGTAAAAAAAAAAACATAAATATAAAAAAAAAATAAAATGTTAAAAAAAAATTATAATTTTTGGTTATAAACTAATTTGGCTTATTTATTACTAAAAATTTACTAAAAATATAATGGAATACATTTTGGCCAAGATTTATGATGAAAGATTATTTATTTGCAAAATTTTATAAGAAAAACACTTTTTTTCAAAATTTGTGGACATTTTCATTTACATAGCAAAAAAAATAAAAATCCCAGCGGTGAATAAATACCGCCAAAATAAAGCTTTATCTGTCTCAAAAAAATGGTAAAAAATTCACATGGGTACAGTATTGCATGACCACGCAATTGTCATTCAAAATGGGATAGCGCTGAAAGCTGAAAATTGCCCTGGACAAGAAGGGGGGGAAAGTGTCCGGACAGGAAGGGGTGAATTGATTCCTGTCTAAATTGTCCCTAGTATGTGTATGTATGAATGTGAGTTAGGGACCTTAGATTGTACACCCCTTGAGGGTTAAGGACTGATGGGAATGTACAATATATATGTAAAGTGCTGCGTACATTGACGGCGCTATATAAGTACCTGAAATAAATAAATAATAAAGTGTGCTGTGACCATAAACCTTCTGTTAAGCTCTAAGAAAAATGAAGAGGAAAATGACAGGGTGTCAGGGTGTCAGCGTTACCAAACAGGAGAGCCCAACCTATAAACTTAATTCTCTTCCTCAAGCCGAAGTGTTGCTGTAAAACGGTTTATGGTGTCATGTAAGATTGCTCGGTGACAGGTTTACATTTCGGCATGCCGGATGAGATATTTCCAGTCCTGGATGAAAAACAGCTTATGGAGACAAAACAAAGGCCTGGATCAGCCACAAAAAGTTTTTCAAGGATTTAAGGTTCATTAATAAATACTTAACACTTGCTCCAGATAAGATCTGTTGTTGTGCTGTTTGCAGGCCATGCGTTCAACAACAATGTGTCTTCTACACTGCGGATACGGAGCATGCCTTTCCGCTAGTCACAAGAGCCAAATCTGGACTCGGACGCTGAAGTTCAATCTTCCTACACTTTGCCCTTCCCTGGTGCCTGCTTCCTCCTTTATCAACATCATATCTACATTATTAAATATGTAAAACCATTCCATTTTCATGGCATACATTATTTCAGACACAGTGAAATAATCACCGATTCTCTGTGCTTCTCTATGTAATACAAGCAGATCTTGGCTGTTGGGAAACATCACAGCATCCCGTTTTAAGTGTTCCTCTCAAAAGCCCTGAGAAAATATGAAAATGTCTTGATAGGCAGGTGTCAGTCTGGAGGAGTGGGCGTTCTTAGGCAGAATACATTTACATGCAGAACATCCTAGGTAACACTCAGATGTGATGTTCAGCCTTCAAGATTGAAAGAAATGAAATGCAAAAAATCAAAACAGTGAGCCAGTTAAAGTAAGGCTTGGGAGGAAAGAGTTAGATCAGTGTTTCTCAACCTTTTTTTAGTGAAGGCACTCTGTAAAATTTTGGACAGTCCCAAGGCACCCTGTAAAATTTTGGACAGTCCCAAGGCACCCTGTAAAATTATGGACAGTCCCAAGGCACCCTGTAAAATTTTGGACAGTCCCAAGGCACCCTGTAAAATTATGGACAGTCCCGAGGCACCCTGTAAAATTTTGGACAGTCCCGAGGCACCCTGTAAAAATTTTGGACAGTCTCAAGGCACCCTATAAAATTTTGGACAGTCCCAAGGCACCCTGTAAAATTATGGACAGTCCCGAGGCACCCTGTAAAATTATGGACAGTCCCAAGCCACCCTGTAAAATTATGGACAGTCCCGAGGCACCCTGTAAAATTATGGACAGTCCCAAGCCACCCTGTAAAATTATGGACAGTCCCAAGGCACCCTGTAAAATTATGGACAGTCCCGAGGCACCCTGTAAAATTATGGACAGTCCCGAGGCACCCTGTAAAATTTTGGACAGTCCCGAGGCACCTTGTAAAATTATGGACAGTCCCGAGGCACCCTGTAAAATTATGGACAGCCCCGAGGCACCCTGTAAAATTATGGACAGTCCCGAGGCACCCTGTAAAATTATGGACAGTCCCGAGGCACCCTGTAAAATTTTGGACAGTCCCGAGGCACCCTGTAAAATTATGCACAGCCCCGAGACACCCTGTAAAATTTTGGACAGTCCCGAGGCACCCTGTAAAATTTTGGACAGTCCCAAGGCACCCTGTAAAATTATGGCCAGTCGACCCCGAGGCACCCTGTAAAATTTTGGACAGTCCCAAGGCACCCTGTAAAATTATGGCCAGTCCCGAGGCACTCTGTAAAATTTTGGACAGTCCCGTGGCACCCTGTAAATTTATGGACAGTCCCGAGGCACCCTGTAAAATTTTGGACAGTCCCGAGGCACCCTGTAAAATTATGGACAGTCCCAAGGCACCCTGTAAAATTTTGGACAGTCCCAAGGAACCCTGTAAAATTTTGGACAGTCCCAAGGCACCCTGTAAAATTTTGGACAGTCTCAAGGCACCCTATAAAATTTTGGACAGTCCCAAGGCACCCTGTAAAATTATGGACAGTCCCAAGCCACCCTGTAAAATTATGGACAGTCCCGAGGCACCCTGTAAAATTATGGACAGTCCCGAGGCACCCTGTAAAATTTTGGACAGTGCCGAGGCACCTTGTAAAATTATGGACAGTTCCGAGGCACCCTGTAAAATTATGGACAGCCCCGAGGCACCCTGTAAAATTATGGACAGTCCCGAGGCACCCTGTAAAATTATGGACAGTCCCGAGGCACCCTGTAAAATTATGGACAGTCCCGAGGCACCCTGTAAAATTTTGGACAGTCCCGAGGCACCCTGTAAAATTATGGACAGTCCCGAGGCACCCTGTAAAATTTTGGACAGTCCCGAGGCACTCTGTAAAATTTTGGACAGTCCCGAGGCACCCTGTAAAATTTATGGACAGTCCCAAGGCACCCTGTAAAATTTTGGACAGTCCCGAGGCACCCTGTAAAATTATGGACAGTCCCAAGGCACCCTGTAAAATTATGGACAGTCCTGAGGCATCCTGTAACATTTTGGACAGTCCCGAGGCACCTTGTAAAATTTTGGACAGTCCCAAGGCACCCTGTAAATTTATGGACAGTCCCAAGGCACCCTATTCTAAAATGTGAAAAAACTATTCCAATAGTTTTATATAACACAGCAACACCCACACATGTAGGACACCTAACGTTGGAGGGGATTTATTCTTGCAAAGCAAATACATTTTTGCACACTGGTACTGACTAGTATTCCAATGTTTCTCTTCTCCCTCAGTTTTTCTCCATCACTGAGCTAATGTGACCCCAGCACTGATGGAGAGGGGAGGGGGAGGGGCAAACTAGGATGCTGTGCAGGCAGCTGACATCCTCCTTATCAACTGATGATGTCATTGGTTGTCAGGGTGCCAACGGCTAGAAGGTCATAATGGTGCCCAATGAAAACCCGTGGCTTTGTGTAACTAAAAGGCAGGCTTGTTCCACCCGCTGGCTTGTATATAGTTTTTGGGCAATTTGTAGACATTTTGCTAAGGCACCCCTGAAGAAACCTCAAGGCCCCCCAGGGTGCCTGGGCATCCTGGTTGAGAAAGGCTGGGTTAGATTATGCTGGACATCCCCAAGCCAGGAAATGGGGTGGTTCTATCTGATTTGCTGCAACTTTTAATTGACACTATGAGGAACTCATAGGGGTTGATTTTCCTAAAGGCAAATAGACCGTGCACTTTGCAGGTGCAGTTGCTCCAGAGCTTAGTAAATGAGGTGAAACTTCACTTTGCATAGAATACTCAATCACATGCAAGGAAAATTAAGAAAAAACAGCATTTTTGCTTGCACATGATTGCATGGTGGAAGTCAATGACGCTTCTGCTCATTAATAACCTCTGGAGCAACTGCACTTTGCAAAGTGCACCGTCTCTTTGCCTTTAGTACATCAACCCCACAGTGTGCATGCAAAACATTACATCAAATTCATACTTAAGTGTTCCAATGCAGAACGTTAATGACACAGGCGTTAATGTGCATTATGGCATGCGTTAATGTGCATTGCCTTAGACTATTCATTAAGAATGGGATACCAATGCACCCTTTTTAAAAAATGCTGTGCTTCAAAACGCATAAAACTTGCATTGCGATTTGCAGCGTCCTGCTTTCAGCTCTACTGTAAAATGCATTGCTGTGCATGTCACGTGCGTATCCCACCTCCGCCTAAACAACTGTACTTTTACAACATGTTCTCCACCAGCTCATTACCTTTTTGTATCACTTGCCCCTTTGTCTAGATCAGCCTTTCTCATCCTTTTTTACCCCAGAGGAACCCCTAAAATAAATTGGAGGTTTCAGGGAACTCCTGCTAAAACCAATTAATTGCAATCCAATGGGAAAAATGCATAGCCATAGATTATGCAATTTTCTTTCCTGCAACCACAAGTTGCATGAAAGAAAATCGCTCAATTCCCCTATCAACACAGTCAGTGATGATGAGGGGAAACCATCCAATGCAGCTATTGTGTTCTCCCTGTAGAGGGGCCCGGTGAGCCATCCCCACCAGGAGAACACAGTGATTACTCAATGTGGCTATAGCCGCTGGCAATAATCACATGCTAAAATTCTGACATCCTGGATGCACTCAGCCTACCCATAGATAGATTGAATCTCAGCTGGTCCCTGCTGAACCAGCGGAGATTCGATCAGTCTATGGCCAGTTTACATTAGTGGTCAGTAAGAAGAATGCTCCTAACATTGGGGGTCAGTGGGAAGAATGTCCCTTACATTGGTGGTCAGTGGGAAAAATGTCCCTTACATTGGGGATCAGTGGGAAGAATGCATCTTACATTGGTGGTCAGTGAGAAGAATGCTCCTTACATTGGAGATCAGTGAGAAGAATGCTCCTTACATTGGTGATCAGAGGGAAAAATGTCCCTTACATTGGTGATCAGTGGGAAGAATGCATCTTACATTGGTGGTCAATGGGAAGAATGTCCCTTACATTGGTGATCAGTGGGAAGAATGTCCCTTACATTGGTGATCAGTGAGAAGAATGCATCTTACATTGGTGGTCAGTGGGAAGAATGCATCTTACATTGGACAGTGAGAAGAATGGCCCTTACATTGGTGATCAGTGAGAAGAATGCCCCTTACATTGGAGATCAGTGAGAAGAATGGCCCTTACATTGGTGATCAGTGAGAAGAATGTTCCTTACATTGGTCAGTGAGAAGAATGCTCCTTACATTGGTGATCAGTGGGAAGAATGCTCCTTACATTGGTGATCAGTGGGAAGAATGCTCCTTACATTGGTGATCAGTGGGAAGAATGCTCCTTACATTGGTGATCATGGGAAGAATGTACATTGGTGATCCTTGGGAAGAACATTGGGGATCAGTGGGAAGAATGTCCCTTACATTGGTGATCAGTGGGAAGAATGTCCCTTACATTGGTGATCAGTGGGAAGAATGCATCTTACATTGGTGGTCAGTGGGAAGAATGCATCTTACATTGGACAGTGAGACGAATGCCCCTTACATTGGTCGTCAGTGAGAAGAATGCCCCTTACATTGGTGATCAGTGGAAAGAATGCTCCTTACAATGGTGGTCAGTGGGAAGAATGCTCCTTACATTGGTGGTCAGTGGAAATAATGCCCCTTACATTGATGTGCGTAGGAAGAATGCTACCCTAACGGACAGCTAAAAGAGATCGATAGTATCATGCTTTTGGATTTTCCAAGTGGCATCAGCTCTGGAACTATGCAGGCACCTTCAAATGGTGGGTGAATCAGTCAGAACCCAAGGAACCCCTGGTAACCTCTTGAAGAACCCTAGGATTTCACAGAACCCTGGTAGAGAATGACTGGTCTAGATGGAAGCTCTCATAAGTAAGGTCCTCCTAACCCTCTTGTCTTGAATTGTATTGGAACTGTACTGTCTCCCTTTATTTTGCAAAGCTCTGCGCCAATGGGTGGTGCTATACAAATTCTATAGAATATTCAAATCGACATATTAAATTGTATACTCAGCTGTCTGCTCTGGGTCAGCGTTGTCAAACTGTTAACAGCTGGTAATAAAGGTGGACAATGGGTTTCCCTAACTTGGGTGATTGTTCCAGTTAGTGAACCTTGCAAATAACGCACCTTTTACAGAGAGCTGGAGCTGTCAGATGACACTTAGGGAAGGCACCTCACGCTAGGCATGTTCTGGCATTCAGAATGGAAACAGTAAGCCTTTCAAAGAGTCGAACATCTGTCTCCAGTTTATGAAGTCTTGAATTTGGTTGCTAGTGCCCACAGAACTTGCACTCAGGGATGAAAAGGGTTATATGATTGGTGGCTGTGCGCAACACTGACATTTTCTTATCTTTCCATGTTCACCTACCTTAGAGAAGCGTATCAAAAGACCGTAAACTAAGACGTCTGCTTTCTGGGCTTCTTTAGCCAAATCTCGGATCCCACTTAGGTTCTGAGTTCCACTCTGCTCTGGAAAATCCAGATGGACCTTAGAGTAGAATAAAAAAAGTAATACGTAAATAAAAGCTAATGCAACAGCCTTTACTTAGTCAAAGCATTTAATGGAAAGTTTCTAAAAATATATTTTAACTATGCAAAGGGGATAAACAAGCTTGATTTTTTTTACATTATCATTATCAGCACAGCAGGACAAATTTCAGTTTGGATGGGCAAATGAGTGGGGCGGTGGAGCACTAGAGCGACTTGCACAGTGGGTTTCATTTAAAGGCAAATAGACTGTGCACTTTGCAAGTGCAGTTGCTCCAGAGCTTAGTAAATGAGGGCAAGCTGTGTTGAATTCCATCATATAATCAAATGTAAGCAAAAATGCCTTTTTTTTTAACTTCTCCTTGCATGTGATTGGGTATTCTTTGCAAAGTGAAGCTTCACCTCACTTACTAAGCTCTCGAGCAACTGCACTTGCAAAGTACACAGTCTATTTGCCTTTAGTAAATCAACCCCAGAATCTTTCATTACGTACATTTCGTTTCCTGCACAGGTAGGTGATGGGGACATATCTGGGCAGCACTGAGAGCTCAGGCAGGAATCAGTTGGAGGGTTTTATAGAACTGTGTTTGAAGTAATGCAAGCATATGCTATTGAGGGAAAAATGGACTGGAATCTTGGCATAAAAGGTGTCCATGGACATGTTACATAACCATCTAAGGTTCTAAGGTCCTTTGCACATGAGCAGTAGTGTCTCCTGCCCTTTGAAAAGCAATCTGCGATGGACCCTATTCAGAGGGCAGTGAAGCAGTGGCTGCCAGGTGTCCAAGAGGCAACCTCCTCCTGAATTAACTGCAAGTCAAGTATTTGGCTTCCAGTTGTAACGTGCTACCATTGAACTTATTTAGCACGTTTGACAGGCAGTGCCACCTGCAAGCCCAGTTAAAATTACCACGTCCACGAAGCAAAGCATCGTACTTGCAGAATGTGTACCGCCTCTGGCTACCGAATTTAGTTGGGCAATAGAGGGGTGGCAAAACTGTAGCTAAACCACCTGTTTTTACCGTCCTCCGTCTGCCCGTGTAAAAGAGCCTTAAGTATCAGCATGTAAATTTATACCCAAGGCAGACAATCCTCGTACCAGTAATATTATTATTATTATAATACAGGATTTATATAGCGCCAACAGTTTGCTCAGCGCTTTACAATATAAGGGAGACAATACAGCAACCATACAGATCAATACAAGAGGGATAGGAGGGCCCTGATCTTGGAGCTTACAATCTAGGAGCTAATATCTCTGGATAAAAAGGGTGATTGTTCAGGAAAAGATCACCAATCAATACTTTCCCCAGATAAATCAGCAAGGGGTATCTGAAGGCAGCTGTATAGTTCATATGTCCATCTTTCATCCAACTAATACTGGTCAGATTTGAGAAGATTGTGGTTTGTCTTATAGTCACCTTCTGTTTGTTCCTGAATTTTCCCAGGGAAGCAAAATTACATACCATGGTACTTCTTGGTACCCCCTACATCCCACATGCTTTAAAACTGGCCACTCGGGTACACCATACAATTACACAGCGGAGGGGAGGTAGCTTGTTAGGGTTTGAGACCGCGCTGGACTGGCTCAGTCACTCACTGGTCGTGGGTGGGTGATGAAAAAGAGTCAAGACGGAAGACTTCACTTCCAATGATTTGTTCCCAACTTGAAAAGTACAGTGCATCCAGAAAATGTTCCCAGCGCTTAACTTTTGCCACATTTTGTTATGTTACAGTCTTATTCCAAAATGGATTCAATTCATTTTTTTCCCTCAACATTCTACAAACAATACCCCATATTTGACAACGTGAAAGAAGTTAGTTTTGAAATCTTTGCAATTTATTAAAAATAAAAAACAACAAAAGAACACATGTACATAAGTATTCACAGCCTTTGCCATGACAATCAAAATTTAGCTCTGGTGCATCCTGTTCCCACTGATCATCCTTGAAATGTTTCCACAACTTGATTGGAGCCACCTGTGGGAAATTCAGTTGATTGGACATGATTAGGAAAGGCATAAACCTGTCTATATAAGGTCCCACAGCTAACAGTGCATATCAGAGCACAAACCAAGCCATGAAGTCCAAGGAATTGTCTGTAGACCTCCGAGACAGGATTGTATCAAGGCACAGATCTGGGCGAAAGGATACAGAAAAATGTCTGAAGCATTGAAGGTCCCAATGAGCACAGTGGCCTCCACCATCCGTAAATGGAAGAAGTTTGGAACCACCAGGAATCTTCCTAGAGTGGGCCGCCAGGCCAAAATGAGCGATCGAGGGAGAAGGGCCTTAGCCAGGGAGGTAACCAAGCACCCGATGGTCACTCTGAAAGAGCTCCAGCATTTCTCTGTAGAGAGAGGAAAACTTTCCAGTACAACAACCATCTCTGCAGCACTCCACCAATCAGGCCTGTATGGTAGAGTAGTCAGACTGAAGCCACAAGGAAGCAAATGGCAGCCCACCTGGAGTTTGCCAAAAGGCACCTGAGGGACTCTCAGACCAAGAGAAACAAAACTCTCTGGTATGATGAAACAAAGATTGCACTCTTTGGCCTGAATGCCAAGCGTCATGTCTGGAGGAAACCAGGCACCGCTCACCACCTGGCCAATACCATCCCTACAGTGAAGTATGGTGGTGGCAGCATCATGCTGTGGGAATGTTTTTTCAGTGGCAGGAACTGGGAGACTAGTCAGGATTGATGGAAAAATGAATGCAGCAATGTACAGGGACATCCTTGATGAAAACATATTCCAGAGCGCTCTGGACCTTAGACTGAGGTGACGGTTCATCTTTCAACAGGACAAAGACCCTAAAACACACAGCCCACATAACAAAGGAGTGCCTACGAGCAAACTCTGTGAATGTCCTGGAGCAGCCCAGCCAGAGCCCAGACTTGAACCCGATTGAACATCTCTGGAGAGATCTGAAAATGGCTGTGCACCAATGCTCCCCATCCAATCTGGTAGAGCTTGAGAGGTACTGCAAAGAAGAATGGGAGAAATTGGCCAAAAATAGGTGTGCCAAGCTTGTAGCATCAAACTCAAAACGACTTGAGGCTGTAATTGCTGTTACAAGTGCTTCAACAAAGTATTGAGCAAAGGCTGTGAATACTTATGTACATGTGTTTTTTTTATTTTTTTTATTTTTAATAAATTGCAGAGATTTCAAAAGGAACTTATTTCACGTTGTCATTATGGAGTATTGTTTGTAGAATGTTGAGGAAAAAAATGAATTTATGTGTTAAATCCATTTTGGAATAAAGCTGCCAACACGTTTCGGGGGAACAAAACATTACAAAATATGGCAAAAGTTAAGCGCTGTGAATACTTTCTGGATGCACTGCAGGTGATGGGTGGCCCTTTTTGGAGTCTGGGCTGCTACCTCTAGGTACGGCCTTACTGTCGTATACTGTCTAGGAAGAGTAGGTAGAAAGGAGCGCCCAGTGTCCAGTAAATTCAAGATGGAAGCTGTTTATTAGAAATCGCAACAAGTATGACAAGCCAACATGTTTCGGGGGAACAAAGACTTCCTATTCTTCAAGATTATTAGACAAACGCATAGGTATATAAAAATATAAATATACAAATATGGAAATACAGAGCTCAGCATACATGAGTACACCCCAACAGATTTGTCAGAAAACCTTTACTTTACTTTCAGAATCAACATTTTCTATGAGACACTACTACAAAATACTCCCACAAATGTGGGTCATTGATTGCAAGCAAGATTTGTTAATTTGCACACACAAAAAAAGTATTTTCCTAACAAATTCATTCAAGACCATGTTGCAAAATGAATACACCCAAGTCTTAAGAGCAAAGCTAAATTTTAGACAACACAATTCTTATTAACAAGAATTAAAATACAGGTGAGTCTAATTATTCATTAAACAGGTGTCCAACAGACAGGAGATTATAAAAGGGTGTTACTTAAGAAAGAAAACCCTCCCATTTCATGCTGTAAGCAAAGGCTCCACATGGAAGAGAAATGTCACAAGGCCTGAGAAAGAAAATAATTTCTTACACAAGAAAGGTGAAGACTACAAGATCAGCAAAGCTTTAATTATCAGTTAGAGTACTGTAGCAAAAGTGATACAAAAATTTAACAAAGATGGAACTGCAACCATCTCACAGAGACATCCAGGCCGTCCACGGAAGGTAACATCTCGACAGGAGCGTCTTCTGATGAGAAGGGTTGAAGAAAATCGCCATGTAAGTTCACTGAAGTTAGCTAATGAAGTAGAAAGCCAAACTGGGGTGATTAATTCCC